CTTCCGATCTCCCCAAAACCCCAAAACCCCATAATAAAATGTTGAGTAAAATTTGAGAATTAATGAAAATTAATGTGTAAAATTTATAAATTTTGAAATTTTTAGATAAAAAAACCTTTTAATGGAAGGGAAAAAGTACAGATTTAGACATGCTTTATGTGATTTTTGTGGGGATTACAAAGGTAAAAGGTTTGAGCCCTTAAATTAGCTCGTTTATTGTAAGACTTGTATTCTTCCAAATCAAAAATCTAAGACCATAAACATCAGGAAACTAGAATGGTCAGCACTTAAGATCCTGAGCCAATTATTTCATCTACTTAAGAGTTAGAAAACTAAATTCCAGTTGAGAATGGAATCAGTTGGCTACTACAGTCTTGAATTATAAAGACTCTTGAGTGAGAAATTGAAGATACTATATTTGATAGAACAGATTATCAAGGATGGTAAGGTAGTTGGGCAGATATTTAAGAAAGTTAAGGCTATGCACAATAGCAGATTAGAACTCATAATGACTTTGAATAACAGAGGAGATGTATTTGAACCATAGCTTTTAGACTTTCGATTGGAAATTAGCTTCTAACTTCAATAGTAATACAAAGAATCTAGGAAGATTATCAAAAAGCTCAGAATATTGTAAGGAAATTGCAATAAAATTTCAAAATAAACGGGTGATTTAATTCTGACAGGGAAAACTAAGATTAAAATTAAATTCAAAATCACTGATTACGATTTGTTAGAGTACCAAATAATCTGTATACAATCAGCAAGATCTCTTATATACGTATTCACACAAACAGATATCTTGATCTTTGACCCAAGTAAACCTAAAGAGCTTGCTTACACTATATGTTTTCAAGAAATGTACATTCAAGGTTGCCTAAATGTTGTGTACAATAAATGGCATAAAAATCTGATATGTTTAACTTGAAGTAGTTTATAGATTATACAAGAGAGAGCTATTATCAGTCAATTTGATTTCAATCGACACTTTCATCATGAACTTGACATTTCTATACTTTAGTGTGAATCTAATTACTTTTATGTTTTTTCTCTCAATGACCTTGGAAAAAGTAACATTGATTTTGTATAGCTAAATGGGCATGAGATATTAAAAGTATCGAGACTATTTACCCCTTATTTTGAATAGTATGATCCGAATCCTAGTAATCTTAGCCAAAAGAATCAAATAGTGGCAACTCCTCTAAAAAATAAAAGATTAGTTTACGTTAAGAAGAATCATATTTATACTTTCAAGGTAAATGTAAAGTCTAGAATGCTGAAGCTAATTTCTTCAAGGCAAATAGATTTAAGAACACAGAAAGAACTGATTTACTCAAATCTTTATACAGTTATGCTATCTTAGAATTAGATTATAGTTGAAAATTTCACGCCTTACTATGGAAAAGATGACTACCATATAATTTATAATATAAAAAGAAAGTATAATGAGAAAAAGATTATTACAGATTTTCTAATCTAGTGCATAAAGAACCAAACTGTTAATAAAAATAAATAAATTTCAATGTAATTATCCTATAACAAAAGCAAAATAGAATAACTAATAACTTCTCTTAATTACTAACTTTAGGCTTTGAAAAGTAATTATTTAAAAAACCACTCTGACTCAACTTTAGATTAAATTGATGATACAATATATCAAATGGATTTATTTAGAAAATTCATGAAGCATCAGAGATGCCGAACTCTGATATTTTAACCTGTAAACAATTTGATTAATAATGAAGTTGAGGTAAAATCAGATCTTAATATTAAGAATTATAACTAGGATATTGAAAAATTCTACCAGTGCCTTCATCATTTATGCGATCATTAGTTGACTAAATTTCATGGAAATATAAATGGAATTTAATAAAAGCTCTATATTTAAGTAAGAGATGATCGGAAGAAGCGTATTAAGCTATTGTTTTGATATTTAATTCAATTCTATCATAAATTACAAAACATTTCAAAACTTCTAAATTAAAAGAAATTAATGAATGAAGGGGTTTTGGGGTTTTGGGGTTTTGGGG